TTACTAGTCATATTATGTTATTATTTTGCAGAAATTTCATAATTTAAATAAAAGTAAAATGCATTTTTCCCAAGTCATCTGTGTTCTATAGAGCAAGTTTGAAAATATGGTAATAATGACCAATGGCTAGATAATTACCCTCACCCTCTCTGGCGACAGGGACATTTTTACTCCAGATATTGAAGAAGGGTTTGATTAAAGACACATATGTAATTATCTTAAGAGTTTTGAGTTATGCAATCATGGTTTTGTTTGTACATGTTGAGAAAGCAAAAACGTGTTCTGTTTGTAGCAGTTCATAATCACAAAGTCTCTATTTGTTTCATAGTTATTTAAAAAAAACAAATTGATCCAATAATAAATGCATCTCTGAAATGTTCAAGTTTACACAAGATCATTATTGTAAATCCCATAAACAGAAGACTCTAGTTTTAGTTATGTACTATGAGCTCAAGTTAAAAAGAACTTGCACCTCTATAGCTAACTACTATTTCTTACACTCCACAATGTACTTCCTTCACAGAGAAAAGAAAATCATCAGGCGAGTGCAAACAGCTCATCACAGACCAGCATCAGGAGAGAAGCACAGGCTTCCTCCACAGAGATTTATTATCATTTTCACACTTTGGCATTTGCCATGCTATCTTTTATTATTTAGATTTTCTGAGCTCAGCTTCTTTGTCAATAGAACAAAACTAATAATGGAAAGATAATACCTATTTCAAACATGTGTAAGTTTCAAATTAGGAAATAATGTTCACGTGTTTAATCAAGTCTCAAAATTATGCAATTCAGGAAACGGAGGGTCCCATGTCATGACCCATTTTAATTTTTAGCTCAATAATGAACTATTGCTATTTTTCAACCTTCATATTAGTATAAAAAACACTGAAGAAACAGAACAAGCATCATCGAGGGCAGCAATAAACCTGTGGGTGCAGTTTAGTATGTCAAAGCTGAGTTCAGCTCTCATTCCCGGGGTTCCCTCACCTTCTAATTCACAGTCATCCTGCAATAAACATTTTCTGATTTTCCCTTTGTTTTCTCATGAGAATGTTACTCTTTCTGGTTGTCTACTTCTTATCTCAGGTTTTTGCCCAGGGAAGATTTATCAAACTGGGAGCAGAGGCTTGGACTCAACCCTGTAGTGCTTCCATCTTCCTGTGAGAACATTGTTTCTACATCCTCAATTTATGTGGTTCTTAACAAGCTATGGCTTTAAACACTTCAATTCCTTTCTATCCCTTAATTTATTCAATTTAAATTTCTCATTAGTGAAACCATAACTCACTAACCCCAGTGTTCAGCCTTCTTCAATCATGCCAATATTCTTAGTTTATTCTTTGGTTTATTTAATTATCTCTCACTTTTACTTAAATATACTGTTTCCTTGAATTCCTGATGCAACATTTGTAATACAAAAGGTCTTAGATGAAAATCAATATCACAAAGAGATATTCCGTTTTTACTCCAATAATAGCTTCGTGTACCTACAGTTGTTATTATCAGGACATGAGAACATCATGATATGTCTGTTTCCTATTACTTACATATAACATACTCTTATTTCTACAAGATTATGAAATGTTGAGAGTACTCCTAGATTTTATAACATCATTTCAAAAATTTTCAGTGTGACTTTACTATGCACAAGGTAGATATCCCAAAAGCAAAAAGCAGGAACAAAAACAAATAAACAAACAACAACAATGAAAAATCAGAACTGATACCCAAGGGAAAGAAGGAGAGATCAGAACTTAAATATCAGTTCCCCTAGAAGATAACTAGATAGTATGGCCTTCAGTATAAGAGAGTTCCCTGCTTTAAAAGGTACAGGACTTCAATGATTCGTAAATTGTATAAAATAGCAAAAGACATATTGTCTTATATATAATATACTCTTATTTCTACAATATTTTGTAATATTGAGAGTACTCACCTGAAAACCTTGTTCTTATTTTAAATAGACTCCAGGGAATTCTTGCTCAGATTTCAAATATTATTTAAATATTAAGAATTAGCAAACACATCAGGCACCCACAATGAATTTTGGTTAATTTTCCAGGAATATGTTTCAGAAAACACAGGGATAAAGGGGACAGACAGGAGCAGGAGGAGGGGTGGAAGAGAGACAGAGAGGGAGGAGGGGGTGGAGGAGAAATAGAAAAATTTAGAAGCTTATTCTGACTTCTAGGTAGAAAAGAAAATGAAGGACTTACTTATACCTCTATGACCTGGGGGATTTAGACCCTAGAGAAAATTTACTAAATTACTTTGAACACAGAAATTAGACTAAGTGTCTTATGTGGCATTGCACAAGAATTTAATTTCTTCTTAATCACTTGAGATAGTGCCTCATCAGGCCTACTCCATTAATTTATTTTACACTTTTTAACTATGGAAAATGTACAATTGACTTGTCAAAATGTTAACTATAATAAAATATAAAAGAAAAGGTAAATAAATGGTAATGTAACAATTAATAATTAACTGCTGTTAGCAATAGCTGTTTTATTGTTCTCATTTTCTGTCTGTCATGTGTGTCCTGGGATGTTTAAATAATAGAACATGATTTTTTACTCCTTCATGTAAGATAAAATGCATGTTTTTGGAGAAACTGAGCCACATCCCCAGCCCTATTTTGTACTTTATTTAGAGACAGGGTCTCACTTAGTTGCTTAGCGTCTTGCCCTTGCTGAGGCTAGCTTCAAGTTAATGATTCTCCTATCTCAGCTTCCTGAGCCACTGGGATTACAGAAGTATGCCATGGTACCCAGCTAAAACATTTTAAAAAGTTAAATTTATAATGGAGAGTAGAACTGTAACTATGAAAACCTGGGGTTTAGGGAAAAAATAGTAGTTACTGGTCAACTGAAACAAACCTTCAGTTATAAATGACTAGGAACCAGGAATGCTTATGTAATATGGGGAAAATTTGTTAATAAGAATATAGTTTATTTTTAGTATTTGTTAGCAGAGTAATCTCAGGGATGTCACCACCAAAAATTGTTAGTGATATGAGGTGAGGTTAATTACCTTAGTGGTGGTAATCATTATGCAATGTATACTTATTTTTTTCTTTTCACATTTTTATTGGTGCATTATAGTCATACATAATGGTGGGATTTGTTATTACATATTCACACATGCACATAATACACAATATAACAGTATAATTTGGCCACTATAACTCCCCAGCACTTCCTGCCCACCCCCACCTCACATATCCCAGCCCCTTTTTCTGCTTATCTCCCTTTGCTTTTCATGAGATCCCTTCTTCCCCATCTTTCTTTTCCTTTTTCCTATCTTCTATTTATGAGAGAAACCTTGTGGCCCTGACCTTCTGAGTTTGACTTACTTCATTTACTATAATCATCTCTATTTCCACTGATTTTCTTGCAAACAATATAACTTTATTTATCTTTGCGGCTGAACAACGCTGCACTGTGTTTATATACCATATTTTCTTATTCATTCTTCCATTAATGGACCCCTGGGCTGGTTACACAGTTTGCCTACAATGAATTGTGCTGCTGCATGCTTTAATTGTATCCACCTTTCCTGCAAGCCCCTCTCCTCTTTAGTAAAAGTTCCCCTTGTATTGTAATGATTATATTTTTGTTGTTGCTATATTTTAGATTCCGAATATGGAAGGAAAATAATAATACAATACTTGTCTTTTTGAGTCTGGCTTATTTCCCTTAACATGATCTCCAGTTCCATGCATTTTCCTTCAAATGACTTGGTCTTGTTCTTCTTTATGGTCAAATAGTACTCCATTGTGTGTATGTAACAAGTTTTCTTTACTCATTCTTTCATTAGTGGGAAGATAGGCTGATTGTATAACTTGGCTATTGTGACTAGTCGGTATCAATCTATATCAGCCTTTCAGATCTGAGGAAGGCACATCCATATTAGGACTCAGTGAAAACCCCAGGAGAGCCATCCCTAAGACACATAAATAAATTATGAGATGATTTGAGTTATAAAAATTTTTGTTGCTCCATTTTAACAGTGTCTTTAGTGCTCCATGGAACTCCTTTTTTACTCCAGCAGTCCTTTCAGCACTTTTAGGATAAATCACTCTTCTAAATATCCTATCTTATCAATGAATACCAGTCAATTTCTTATACTGATAAAACATTGGCTGATACACCGTCTATCTTTAACAGAATTAACAGCAATGGACAAACTATTGTTTTTGAACAAATTACCTTCAATCTCCATTAAGACAATTACATAGGAGGACAATTATGCCTCATCAGTCAAATTCTTCAAAGTATAAGAATGTGGTTATTATGAAGAAACTGTAGAAAGCACAGTGCCGGTAAAGGTTTACATATGTTACTGAATATTTTTACATTGTACCATATATGAAATGTGCACAATTATGATTATATGCTTAAATATGTATATACATACATACATACATTATATAATTACATGCAGTGTATATGTAAGTAAATAAGTAATTTCTAACTATCTACATCAGTTTCTATGATAAGATTCATCTATATTTTTTCTGCTTTTGCCCATTTATTCTTGATAGGCCTACAGCAAAAGTTCTTCATGAAAAAAAAAAAAAGAAAAGTTGCATCTTCCAAGAAAATCACTTTTAAAATAACTGGGCAGAGAAAATCTCAGCAGTACCTCCAACTACACTCCCTTCTCTTTTCCTTATATTACTGAACAAGTCAAAGAGAAGAATTTATCCTGAAATATTTGATTTCACTTATCATGGACAGATACTATGAAAAGAAATTGCTAAGTTCTTTGAGAATTTTTTTTCTAGAAGTTCATATGGCATTTTTAAGCTGTCTTAGAGTTTTGTTTTTTTTTTTCCTTTTACCCCCATCTGAAATGTATGAGCATTCCTGGTGCTCACCAAGAGTTGGTTTTTCAGTTGTTCTCATTTTCAATTATTCATTCATTTCTAACTGAAGAATCTGAAGTTTAAAAATTATTTATTTTTTAGATATAGAATAACAAATATAATAATATTATATTGAGTGACAAAGAGATTTGGTGACAACTAATTTTCGGAAAGTGTCCTTCACATCTTTGTTCCTAAAGCTATAGATCAATGGGTTCAGCATGGGAATCACCACTGTATAAAACACTGAAGCTACCTTAACTGAGAGCCAAGAAGTTTTGGCACTAGGAGCACAGTAAAGAAACAGGATAGTTCCATGAAAGATGGTGATGTTGGTCAGGTGGGAGGCACAGGTGGAGAAGGTTCTCTGACGCCCACTTGCAGAAGGCATCGTCATAACAGTGATGAAGATGAATACATAGGACATAGTGATAATTATCAGGCTGCTCACCTCATTGAATACAGCAATAATAAAACATAGCATCTGGCTGATATAAGGGTCCGAGCAGGAGACAGAAACAATGACGGAGTGGTCACAGAAGAAGTTATTTATGATGTTAGATTCACAGTACGACAGGGCAAGAAGAAAATATGTGAGTGTCAGGGAGCACACTACACCCCATGTATAAGACCCAGCCACCAGAAGAACACAAAGCTTCTGAGACATAATAGTGGTATAGAGCAGAGGGTTACAAACTGCCACAAAACGGTCATAGGCCATTGCTACCAGCATGAAAGTTTCTGTCACTGCAAAAATGCAAGCAAAAGAAAACTGCATGATACAACCAAAAAAAGAAATGGTTCTGTCTTCCACAACCAAGTTTTCTAGCAGTTTAGGTGTAACTACGGTGGAGTAACAGCAGTCTACAAAGGACAGGTGGCTAAGAAAAAAGTACATGATTGTGTGGAGTTTTGAATTGATCTTGATGATTATTATCATCCCCAAATTTCCCACTATGGTGGCGATATAAATGGACAAGAAAACCAGAAAGAGTGGCACCTGGAGACCTGGATATTCTGAAAAACCCAACAGAATAAAGGTGGGCCTGCTGCTTCTATTTCCTTTAGAAGACATCATAAATCCTCTTGGCTGAAAAAACAAAAGAGAACCACAAGTTAATCCTGACAATCAAAATTAATAGAAAATAAAAATAGAGGGAATAAAGAGGTGTTGTGTGTAATGAGTGACATAAGAAGTGGGGTACCCAAAGAACAGCCACAGCTGAACTTGGCAATTTCTTAAGATATAAATTCTCCAGTCCCATCAACCTTCTGAATCAAACACCCTGGGATGATGCCCACACTTTGTGATTCTAGAAAGCCTCTAGAAGGTTTCTATCTATGCTAAATGTGAAAAATATGTGGTAATATCTTTATTATTTAAAAGTCAGCCTTCATTAGTATTATTCATGTGGAACTGAAATAAATATAGCATAAATTAATCACAAAAATTGGAAAGGGAAGCAGAACCAAAGAGTACCTTGTTATGATTTGAAGATTTACACTAAGAATTGAAGAGAGCTTGACATCACCATTGGTGACCCACATTTGGTAGTGTAAATTGCTTTTGCATTTTACACCTTTCTAAACATGATACAAAATCAAATCACCATAGAATTTAGTAGTTGGACTGTGCCTCGACCAGTGCAACCAGACTTGCAGGTTCCCTCAATGGGCGATGGGAGATTGGAAGAAATAAGAATCAACACATGCAGATCCTGAAAATAAAGCTGCGGTCCATTGGAATGCTGCTCTCTGATGGAGAAGCAAGTCTAAAGAATTACACCAGCAATCTTTATTACATATGTCTCCAAGTCAGATTAAAGACTATGCAAGCATTATTCTTTGTATTCATGAAAGTTTCAGAGTTAGCAACAGTATGAAGCAATTTCCTCAATTACAATCTACAGTTGCAATGTGCAATGTTAGGAGAATTGTGCAGCTCTCAAGAATGTTCATTGTTTAAAGTTACTGATTGAGTTGAATTCGTGAAACGTTGTTTTCTTAGCAAGAAGTTTCCTTCATTCCCAGGAGCTGCTATGCCTGAGATTAAGGTCCAGGCTGATAAGATTCTGACATGGAGGACATTTCCCTAGAAACCTGGCATCGTATGCCTTTGCACAGAAACTTTAACAGCCACCAAGTATGCCACAGCCATGAAGTCATCAGAGACTCCAGTCTCAGACACTGGTATCCCAGTCATTGTCACTAATCTCCACAAGACTGAGTCTTAAAATGTCTATAGTTCATAATTCCACATAGATTCCTCTCAACATGATTCTGTAGAATTTGCTACAGAAGCTCAATTATGATGCGTTCACATTGTCACCATTCAAACTTCAATGCACACTGCTTCCTTGGGTATTTTTATGGGTGTTTTATTGAGATATTGAGTCAACTTTTATTCTTTTATTAGAGGTTTTCAAACAAATTTTCAATAACTTTATTAATGTGCTTTAATTCAGGTATATATACATATATAATATGTATATATACACACATATATACATATATATCTGATATGTATGTATATATAGAGAAAATCTAATGAGCTGACTTAAAGCACATTAATAAACAGTTAAAATATTAACAAAATTATATATATATACCACGTAGAAAAAAATAATCTTATAATGACCAGTAATATTTCCATACAAAATATATTCTATGATACAATGAAAATTTTGTAATAAAAACTACACATGTTCTTAGCCCCAAAATACAATCCTTTCTTTAAGATGAGCAAACTTGGAGAAGAGGAGGAAGTGTAAACAAAAGGCAATGAAATGAGAGGTCTTGATGTGAGAGAAGAAAAATGTAAAAAGATAGACACAAGGCAGCAGCAGAAATACATCTGTAGATGGTCTTCCACTTTTTTACCTTTACCTGGATTGAGTGTCAAGATGGAACCTTGGCCCCATGAGTTCCCACCCTCACTTGAACAGCAACTTGACACTTAGAGCCTCTCTTAGGATCAGGTTTTTCCCATAGCAAGGGGCCTGGGTGGGCAGAGTTTAAATATCCATTATTTTTCATACTGTTTTAATACGTAAACTTTGAATATATTAGTAAAGTCAGCTACTACTACTCTGGACATGTGGCATACTTTTTAGGTCAATAACAAAAAGACACTCAGAAAAAGACTTGATAATTAAGTCCTAGCAACTTCCAATAGATTTTATAAACACAAATGTGTCAGGATTAGGCTTGTACCCAAAGCTGAACTAAATCTAGGGGAGCTCAAAATTAACAAACATCCCACTAACTTTTTGTGACTTTCTGCATTGATACCTGGTAGTGTCACTGTTGCCAGTTTCTGTAGCACAAAATTGAATTTTGAGAAACACTTTAAGCACTGTTAGTGAAAATCAAGATGTCCCCAGTCATAGAAAGATATCTACTTAATTTTATAGCCACCTATGTGAACTGAACCCCTGTTTTCCACCTGAACTGAAAGACCAAAAGATAAATGAACTGACCTGAAACCAGAAGTTCTTGATTAATCCACTTAGAATTTCTTCTTAAGACTAATGAAGTTGAGGTACTTCTGTCCAAGTGAGCAAATATTACTTAACAGAGCAATATGCTTAAGATTTGTTATAAAAGTGGAAGTGTTTCAGTGATCATGCCAGTAAGATGGATTTTAAAAAGAAACACCTGAAAGTTGAACTCATAGTCTGAACTCTGCCAAACTCCAGCTTTTATACATGTCCCCAGACTATGGAGATAGGGACCTTAGGGAATTATAATTGGAGTGGGCTGAAAAAAACATAAAATTAGTTAAACAGTCTTACATCATTGTGATAGCTGTGTTTTCTTTTGAAGCAGTAGGGATAATTACATTATGGTATTTATTCCATTAACCACTTTGGAGTATTGAATTAATTAAATAATGAAAGTTCACTCATGGAAGGAAACATGGACTTTATAGCTTGAACCATAACTAAAAATAATACCCCATTGTTTTAATTTGCCTTTCTCTGATAATTAATAGTGCAGAACATTTTTTTTTCATAGAAATGTAGGTCATTTGCATGTCTTCTCTGGAGAATCATCTACTCAAGATCTTAATCCAATATAAATTGTGATATTAAGTCATTACTTGTTATTGAGTTGTAGGAGCTCCTTACATGTTTCGGATGTTAGCCTCTTATCAGATATAAAGTTTGTAAATATTTTCTTTGTTTCTATTTTCCTCTCTGATAAACCTCAAAGATAACTTCTATCATTAGCTACATTTATTTAGGTATTAAACTTCCATTTAAATTATATTTTTGAATTAAACTCTTTTTATAGCTTTATTTTATTTTCAATTTTTATTTGGTACTGAGGATCGAACCCAGTGCCTCACATGTGCTAGGTGAGTGCTCTACCGCTAAGCCAGAACCCCAGCCCCTGTATGAATTCTTAATGTCAGTTACAATATTTTTATTCTTTTTATATTTAGTTATTTTTAATTAAAACACTATTTATCTTAGTGTCTAGTTTTCTAAACATTTTTAAATGTTTCATTTTTTTCTATTTTTTTTATTGTTTAGATATGAGGTGTCCCTCAAACACTCATGAGTGAGACAATACAAGAACTTCAGAGGTAAATGATTGGATTATGAGAGCCTTAACCCAGGGACCAACTGGGTATACCTACAGGCACCTGGGTGTGGGTGAATGAGGTAGTTCACAGGGGACCTGCCTTTGGGTTATATACTTTGTCTCTGGTGAGCAGAGCTTTCTCTCAGCTTCCTGATTCTAAAGTCCTGAGCTGCTTTTTCTACCACACCCTCTGCTGGGATGTTTGTCTCCCCTCAGGCCCAGAGTAAAGGCCTTGGCTGTCTGTGGACTCAGAACTCTGAAACCATGAGTCCCAAATAAACTTTTTCTCCTCTAAAATTGTTCTTGTCAGATCTTATGGTCACAGTGATGAAAACACTGACTAAAATAATCTTCTTATTTAAGGAATGTATTGTTGATGTATAAAATGTTCTGAAGAAGTTTTGATGATTTCTAAAGGTTATTGCATTTTATTTCATAGGCTTCTCTCTCTCTCTCTCTCTCTCTCTCTCTCTCTCTCTCTCTCTGACACAGATTTATTTAGGAAATCAATAATTAGATACGCATGAAAGGTAGAATGCAGATAGATACACATTAAAGGAAGAATGCCGGCTATCTCAAGAGAGAGACATCTTTTGGAGTAAAGCAAGAAATACACATTTAAGGGAGAACTGTGCCATCTTCAGAGAAAGAAGCTCTGGGCTGAAGCAAAAAAATACACTCAAATAAGAATGTAGAGTCTCCACCTCCAGAGGTAGAGACTGCCCTTCTCCTATCTTTTGATGTGCTTTGCAAACTTTGAAAATACTGAACATTATGTTCAAAACTCAGGTGTGAAGATAATTTGAGGTCTCAAAGGATTTAATCAGGACCAAAATGTTTCTGCTTCTAATATTTATTTAGAGCACAGGCACTCCAGTACGCTTTCATCCAACCTCCAGGCCTAGGGTTTCCTGGCCCCTGAAATGAGTTACATCTCAGTTTCAGTACAAGTGTGGATTATCATGTCATACTTTTTATACCTGTGGCATCAGTTCAGGGTCTCAATCTGGAAAATTTTCAACTTGGATTACCCTTGAAATTTTACCCTTTCCCTATATATATCTATATGACCATAAAACTTGTAGCTTATACTTTCAGTGAATGGTTTCCAGGGAAATGCAGGTGCAGGTATCTGGCTCATCTTTCTATGACCCTGGTTTATTGTCAAAAATTGGCCTACTATACATTTTATCTTGAATTATATAAATTCATTTTTCTAGTGACTGAACATGATAGCTATGATTGGGTAGAAATAATACTACTTCATGTGCTTCATAAATATTTCAGGTATATAAAAATAATCTATCTCTCTCTTTCTCTCTCTCTCTCTCTCTCTTTCTCTCTCTCTCTTTCTTTTAATTTGAGACTGAGTCTCACTAAGTTGCTTAAGTCCTTGCTAAATTGCTGAGGCTGGCCTTGAATTTGCATTCCTCGTGCCTCTATCTTCTTGTACATTGGGATTACAGAGTACTCCACCACACCCAGCAA